CCCCCCCCCCCCAATACTCAATAACCGATAGCGGGGTAGGGCTGATATTGCTTTTCACTCGGTTCCAAGGGCCGCCATCGGACACTGCTACTTCCAGTACAAAGGGAAACACCCATCGCATGGGGTGGATTGGAAGGGAGGCGACGACGTGGTGAGAACCGCGAGGGGCGGAAAGCAACGAGAGTCTCGAAGTCGACCTCGTGACAGCGGCCGCCACCGCGGTTGCCGCTGCTCCTGCTTCTGCGCCGGGGGGGCGCTTCCCCGCCTGACGACGCCTTCCTCCGGAACGCAACCTACCACTATCCCGCAGAATCAAAACACCCAACACCTGGCAGAGGTCTTGCCCTCACGGCTTACAGTCCACTCGCCGAGGTGTGGACACACCAGCAGGTGAACACATCGACCGCGAGACCGTGCCCCGCTGCCCGCAGTTCAACGAGAAAAAAGGCGGTGAGGCCGCCGTACTGCAAATCATCTACTGGTCGACCAAGCTAATGCAGCGGTAGCGCAAGGGCGAGCGCAATCACGGCCGCTACCCCGGCTGCTACGGTCGTTGTGGCAACCGGCCCTCTCCTCGCCGGGCCACTGCTTTGTAGGTCCTCTTCGGGATCATCCGTGGGGGCGCCTTCGCTGGTGAAGTACTCAGCATCCCCTACCGCGGACCCCCTGCAGGCACGCGCGCATCAAAAAGGAAGCAACGTGCGGTTCTACGTTCGCAAGCTAGCGGGGGATGGATCGGCATTGGTGTCACGCACGAGCGCAAGGCAAGGTACGTGATGTGAATGATCTGTCGTCCTACACGAGCCTCGCAAGGAAAAATAGTGATCGACCGTGGTGCCCATGCTGCCGCTGCGAATAACGAAGTGGTTTCGTTGTTGCCTGCCCTCTCAAGTTGCTCGAACAAGAGAGGACAAGTTCTTCTCTGCCAGCTTCGACAAAATTGCGACGTCCACATACATTACGCGCCCTCTGATCCTGAGAAATTTGTGGGGAAAAGGCGCGCTGGCCAATCCTTATAAGCCATCGACCTGACCTCCCTAACTCCAATACTTCAAACGACGACAGTAGGACACGTACATTTTTCGAAATAGAAAGATAGCGGTGTAAAACCGTTGCTGGTTGTTTGTGCGTTTGCGCTCTGGACACGAAAATACCAGTTGTCACAACACCTGCGAACGCTGCACATGGCGCCCGAGCAACTTGTTACTCACAAGCCCCTCGCTACTGACTGCTACGCTTTTCAACGTTAACTCACACAGATCTGTCTGAGGATGATTCTGCTTGTCCGACCAGCCGTTGGCGTGTCCATGTGAAGATGAGGGCGGGGGAGCGGGGGCAGATGGGCGAAATTACTATGTTAGGGCATTGCTCAGACACGTTGGAGGTATGGTGTGGAAACACGGCCTGCTGTACCTCATCACTATGGATGCAGGATCAGATCACGGCGTCGTTCACACAGGACTTTGG